AGATAAGTTAATTCATCAAGACACCCAACACAGATAATCCCATGTTCTACTCTCACTAGACTGACTGTGATACCGCATGCTTCTCTGAATCTCTGTAAACATACCAATGAAGCACTATATGCCTTTAAAAGGATTTTATTCTCACGTCCTGCAATGTGAACTTATCAACATGGTCTACAGCAAGTATCGGTTGACACCCTAATGTGGGATGCTAAAACTATGTTAGGTAAAAACCACAACTCTTTCCATTTTAAATTTGTTGCAGATGTGCTGACTGATTGAAGTTTACATTTAAAGATACAAAGAAAGTGAACTAGCACACCCACACAAAGTGTGAGAGAGAGGGGTACAATATCATATAAACTGCAAGCAGAGAAATGTGATTATAATATATTAAGGTTAGTTAAATGATCTGGTATAAAACTAATAGAATAATGTTCATTTTTTTAAGAGTTGTTTATACTTTGGAGACATTACTTCACAAAGACACAGTGAAGCTCCTTCTGATCGTCTCTATACTTGTCCATCAACACCCTGAAAACAAACACTATCTGTAGCACTCTTTCTTGGCATTAAGCTAAACTGCTGCTCACTCGTCACTTTCTCTCTTATTAACCTAGCTGCAAAACTTTCCTTTATCTTCATGGTATGGCTCATCCACTGTACATCACTCATGTTCGTAAAAACTAGTACCAGTGCAATTCTCCATTCCTCAGCCATCCTCTCACTCTCCAAGACTGAGTTAAAATAAATCAAGTTAAAAAGCCAACTCTATTTTTTATCTATCTTAGACAGACAGATAGATGGAAAGAATTGCTTTTAATTCATTTCTTGGTGATGTAGTTTTATGATAAGCCAAAGCCAGCTTGGCTCAAAACTAACTCAAATTATCTCCAACACACTGCTGTAAGGTTATACTATTACTCTGGTGCTGAACCCACCAGTTTGCTCATTTCTGTCACTTGGTATATGGGTTTGATAGCTGAAGCATAAACTGAGCTAGCACAGTTGTTGTGTTAACAATAACATTTCAGTTTTTACAAAGCTAAACTATACTTAGACTAAAAAATAACATAAACATGTACTTACAGCATACATGTGTAGTCTCTCCATGTAAGTCTGCTTTATATGTATGCAACTAGCACTTGAGCATACTAGGCAGCTGGTGGCTAAAATCACTGGTACTCGCGCCACCTGGTGGTGAGCCTGTCATGCTTCATCCCAGGGTTAATATGAACAGACAGTCTGTTAAAAGAAGCTGTAACTCAGGAGTTTTCGGTCTTTTCAGTGCTTTGACATTTACATTTGAGATTTACAAATCTGATCTCTCACATATGGTTGTAAATAGGAAAACATGGATTGAGGTACAAATACACAACTATCCACTCAAATTTACAAAACAATTACTGCAGTAATAGCCTTTACAATCACAATTAAACAAGATCTTGCAGGTGTTCTGCATTTTATTGCTTCTGGATATTTGTAAATTACACTGGATTCATGAGGTGAGTGCTGATTCATGCATTACTTGCAACTCAAAACTTGTTTCTCACCATAAGTATTTTTACTTTTACTACTGAAGTTTACAGATTTTACCAGAATATGACAGAACAACCACTAATCACACAGTAGTATATTCTACTGCTGTGCCACTGAGAGCATCCTCACTGGATCCATCACCACCTGGTATGGCAACAGCACCGACTACAACCGCAAAGCTCTCCAGAGAGTGGTGCAGTGTTCTGAAAAGATAATTGGAGGTGAGCTTCACTCCCTCCAGCACATCTACAAGAAGCGGTGCCTGAGGAAAGTGGGGAGGATCATCAAAGACTCCAGTCACACACTGTTCAAACTATTTCAGTCCAGCAGGAGGTACGACGGTATCC